AACAGTTGTTTCTAATATTTATCATACCAGCCAAATTTTGGCAAGAAGAAACGTTCGATACTCCAGAGAGAAGACAACAAAAGTGATAGTGATTTTAATTAAGGGCCTTGCAAAAAGTGATGATGGTTTTTGATATACTATGGAAGCGATGAAATAAGGAAATTTTCTTGATTCAAAAAACAATCAGTGGAAGGCTTTTCAAAAAGTAATAAATGGAAAATGTTGCAAAAATGAAATAACACTTCCTTCAAACATTCTTCAATCATTTTCTTCGTCCCCCTTCCTTTTCATGCATATACCTCCAGAATGTGGAACTAAGTTGTTTTTTTACAGTGAAATTGTGAACAATAGTGACATGGTACAAAGTGTTTCAATGTGTTTGATTGAAATATACGATTTGCCTACATTAATTTGCAAATAACGAAGAAAAGGGCAGCAGGCCAAATGCCCCAGGGAGGACGCTTGGTTGCGTAGAGAATGTGCAATTTTGGGAGGAGACAGAGAACGACCAGGGCCGACGGGCATTTGGCTCTGGTGGCTTATCTCGGCTTTTACTCAACGAAACCCCCAACATCCATATATCATTCTGCTCAAAATCGTATGGAGAATCCAGCCGACAACTGCGCAACTTTTATAAGTCCTATCATGACAAATTAGTCTTTACATTCTCTTGACTTTCACTAATCAAGGCTATTTGACGTGCATGCTTCTAGAGTTCACTTTCTAATCATAATAACTATTACTTCTAGCGATGCATGCCTTTCATAGTTCGTAGACACTTCAACTGCTTAGAAAGAAAGAGTTATAGGGCGATTTCAGCACTTACACCTCACACTTGGATTCTTCAATCAACTTCTACTTTCAAAATAAATCTTTTCGTTTTCCATGGAACTCCTCATCATTGTCCCCACAGCTCTTATGCGCTACGACATCTTAATCTTATTTCGTCAACAACACAGTGAAAACTTCCTCCCTCTATTGGTCTTATAGTTCTCGATCTTCAAACTTTTAGGTGTAGATCGATGTCCGGGGCTGAGCCCCGGACCTTGACTTACTCAGACTCTATTAGGTGAGCCTACTCTTTCTCGCTCATTAGTGAAGGTTACCAGAGCCGTGGCTCTATGTATCTAACCTATGGTAAGAAGGGACTGAATTTTTTACAGTTTATACTAGCTATGTGGATCATAGACGCTGCTCAGATAAATAACGGTTTTTTTTTGAGTTCACACTGCAGAGTCTCATCGAAATTTAGCCATAGAAGTTATGGAACCAGAAAGTGTCTAAAAATGTGCACACTGTTTGATCGTTGATAACTTCTTTATTGCCTGCTCTTACAAAACCTTTATGAGTCTAATTTGAGCTTAGATTTCCGCATGTGGATGGTTGTAGTACCCCTACCGAGAGGTGGATTTACAATGTAAAGTTAGAGGATTAAGGGCCGTGGTCTGCACTTACCGTAACTTTGCTTAAAAATCTTACTTAATTAAATAATTATCATAGATTCAACATTTGCCCATCAAGCTTTCACCACCAACAACTTTGTATTGTATCCTTCGAATTAGAAGAAAAAGTTCAGGATTCGTTCTTGAATGCAGAAGCCTGATTTAGCACTTCATAATGATAGTGGAAAAAGAAAAGGTACATATAAAAATTGATG